GCCCGGGTACCGCACCCCTCCCCCGCTAACCACTCCCCTGCCCCCCTGTGCCCGGGCACCCCCCGCACCCCTTCTGCCCAGCCGTCCCCTCTGACCCGCTACACCCCTTGTCTCCATCCCTAGATCCGGCTGCCCCCCTCCCGCCGTCCCGCCTGTGCCCGGACACCCGTTCCCTGTCCCGCTACGCTGCCCGCCTCTCTCCCTGCGTCCGGCTGCCCCCCACCCCGCTCCCGCTCCATCCCTTTGCCCGCCTACCCCCTTCCCCACCACCCCTGCCCGGCCCTCACCCCTCTGCCTCCCTCCCCGGGGGTGCCTCCTCCTCTGGGGCTCTCCGAGCGCACGGTCCCCCCGGGCCCCGGCACCAGAGCCCGCAGGTTCACTCACCCCCGAGACCAGCAGCAGCAGAAGCAGCAGCTTCATCTCCATGGTCTTTCCCGTGCGTGCGACAAGCCAAGAGCGAGCGGCCGGGGTTGGGGGGGGGGAAGGCGCTTCTCCCAGCCCCAGCAGCCTCTCACCTCCCCGGCGGGCTCAGGTTGGAAGAAGGACGCAGCCCGGCTGGCTGCGGGACAGCACCTGCCTCGGCGCCTGAAGCTCAGCCCTGTTTTATTAAAACGATCGATGCTGCCCTCCCACTGGCTGGGTGGCTTTTCAAACATCCAAGTCACTGCCGCTGCCCCTCCTCCCTGTGCCCCCCCCCTTCCCCTCCACCCCCAGGAATAGTATCACACACACACACACACACACACACACAAGCTGGCATCTGCCTGCTCAGCCAGAGACTCTTTGGAAAGGAGCCTGGGAGACAATTAACTGGGAAATACACAAAACTGCAACAGAACCAGAATGCAACTTCCAGCGCCCTTCCCTTTCGCCAGCTGCCATTCATGGCCCTGGAAAAGCGGAATGAGGCACACGTTCCTTGACTGGGTTTCCGGGAGAAGTGCTACCCACAGCGCCGATAAACTGGTTTCATTGGGGTGGCCTTCTGTATTATCCACCTAAGAGATACACCCCCCCACCCCCCAAATCTATCTACCCATCCATCTCATCCACAGCCCACCATCCATCCCCCCCGCCCATCTATCTATCCATCTCTGCTCCTGTCTCTTTTATTCTTTATTTGTAGTACAGTAACACCGAGAAGCCACCATCGGGTTGATGCCCCTGGGTGAGGCAGCCTGAGAAAGCCTGAAGAGGAAGACGACCTGCAGACTAAATTCCCCCTTTCACCGGCCCATCCCACTGGTCCTCTTTTCAGTCAGAGATTGCAGGTATGGAGAGGACTGCCCAGATGGGAATGAATACTGGAGACTGCCGTTATGCAGCAAGGGTCCCAAAGGCGTCAGGGTCCCTCCTTTAAAAGCTAGCATGGTATTCTACAAGAATGGTCCAAAAGGTTTGGGCCAGACCCTCCATTACAGCTGAGATGTGTCCAGTACAGTTTGGGGAGGGGAGCAAGGAAGTGTCTTTTCCCCCCTCCTGAAACTAGGCCAGCTGTGTGCAGCGCGGGTGTGCGGCATATTTCAGAGCAGCTTGAAGGCTGCTCTAAACGATTGCAGCTGCTAGCGGTCCCCAGGGGCTGATACATCAACCAGGGACTGCCAGCCCGGCACATTCCTTTTCCCTCCAGTCCCTGTCCATACATCGGCAGCAGGAAGGGGTGCAGAGGAAGAACTCCTTCCAGAGAAGTGCCCTATACTGGGGCAAGCAATTCCCCTATCCTGGCCAGGGATGCTGGCATTAGGGTCGCTGGGCCTGAAGGCTTTGTCACAGTGCCCATGCGGCAGGGGAGAATCGGAAGAATCCTGTCTCACCAGAGTGCTACCATAGTGTCTGGAGAGATTGTGGTAGTGTACTGTATTAATTAAACATTGTAACTACACTGTTTGGGGCCATTACTGGAGAACACTGTTGTGCCGTTATTATTAAGGTAAAATTCCCCTTGTCCCTCACTGCAAGCGAGGAAGGATGGTCTTGGGGCTACCACACCGCTCTGGGGCTCAGAAGATCTGGGCTCATTTCCGAGGGTCTGCTGCCTCAGTTTCCCCACTTGTAAAGCAGGAGCAATATAACACTCCCTTTGTCTATTTGGATTGCCAGCTGTTTGGAGCAGAGGCTGTCTGCTGCTATGGGTTTGTACAGCCCCTAGCACACAGGTGCCTTGAATTCAGTTGGGGTCAGTAGGTGCTGCTATAATACACATAATAAGAAAGAAAGAGGTGAGTGGATTCCTTGATTCGCAGCAAGTTCCCCCATCTTTGCCCAGACCTGGTTTCTGCAGCCTCATGCTGGCTGGGCGCTCTTCTCTTCTGCCTCGGAGTTTGAGTTTATCAAAAGAAAACCCTGTCTTGCTTCCTCCCCTGACTAGCTAATTGTGCACTTGTGAAAGGAGGCAGTTGAAAATGCTGCTTCTCCTCCATCTCAGCAGCGACCTTACGCCTCCGAGCGGGGAGCTGACATCTAGCACGACTCAGCGGAGCATGACATTGGCCGAATGCTCTCTGTGGTGCTCATCACACCATTACCGGCCTTCATTGTGGCTTTGGTAACGGATGTCAGTTTGAGCATTACCCAGCACACACTGGGTGTTCCTGTCCCCTCCCAAAATGTCCTCTAGCCCCACGGGACAAGGAGCTCTCTAAGTCAGATGGCTCCAGCTGGCAGGGCAAGGCATGGGGAGACTGATCCCTAATGTAAAGTGGAGAATTAGGATGAAACTCAAGGGGGTGTGTTGTGGGGGCAGGGGGGGGGGAGGGGAACGTTGTGACTTCCTTTCTGCACCCCCAACCGATGTGCCCGATCCTCCCCAGTCCTTACTGGGAGACAATGGGATTTTGGCCTAGGAGAGCAGAGTTAAGGATCTGGCCCCTCTCTGGCGTTCGCTGTCAATGGCTGAATGAAAAACCAAGCCCAAGGAGGAGAATGACCTCAATTAAGATACCGTCCTGCTCTCCAGCCCCAACGCACAGCCTGGCAGCATCCAAGAAGGCCAAACGTAGGTGAGGTCTGTGGGATTTTTGCCTGAGTGAGAACAAGAGGAGGTGGCCTATAGAAATTAAAGACGGCAAAGACCTGTTGGGCATCCCAGGTCCACCCCCAGCTGGTGCAGGAGTTTCCCCCTCCTCCATCTAGTCTCCAGTCCATTGCCCCGTTTCGTTTTCAGTCTCTCCAGGAGGCTGTTTCGCCGCCCCATGGCATCAGCAGGCAGATATCCCACTCCTAAAAGACATCCCATCACTTGCGAGTTATTGTCCTTCGCTGGTTTCCTACCAATCGCACACCCCATCGCTCCTCGTTAATCCCACCCTAATGCATTCCGCCCCCTTCCGATATTTGCAGGCGGAAACCAGGTTCCTGCAGAACAGTTGCTGAGCCAAGATCTTTAAATTCTTTTGATCTTTCCTCGCAAATCAAGCCCTGCAGCTCCCCGATTGTTTTTTGACGCTCTCCTTTGAACTGCCTCCAGTTGAATCTATCTTCCTGGCCCACCACTGAAGGCAGTAGCACGACTGCGCAGGTGTGTTTTTCAGATGATGACCGTAGCACTGGCTGCAATATGCAGCGTGACTGGCTTCACCTTGCTAAGAGCGACTGGGCATTCGCCCATACGTTAAATACCTCTCCTTAACTGTAAAAGAAGGGTATGTCTACACTACAGGATTAATCCGAATTTAGATAATTCGAATTTGGGAAACAGGTTGTATAAATTCGATTGTGCGCGGCCACACTAAGCACCTTAATTCGGTTTTAAACCACATTAATTCGGTGGTGTGCGGCCACACTACCCCATTAACTTAAACACAGTAATTCGGTGGTGTGCGTCCACACTAACCCTAATTCGAATTAACAAAATCGATTTAGGCTCTACTCCGTTCGTCGAGGTGGAGTACAGAAATCGATTTAAAGGGCCCTTTAATTCGAATTAACTGGCTCTGTAGTGTGGACGGGTGAAGGGTTAATTCGGATTAAGGCAGCTAAATCCGAATTAAAGTCCTAGTGTAGACCAGGCCGAAGAGGTGGTCCGTCCCCGCAGACAGCTTTGGGCTGCCTCCCTGCCATTGCTAGCCTTCATGCTGCTGCTGGAGTAAGGACTTTCTCATATTGATTGGTTCAGGCTGCGTTTCCTCTCACAAAACGCGAGCTATCGACCTGCCAAAGCAGATGGGGTCAAACAGCATGACTGGGGCGGCTGTATTCTTCTGGGCAGCTCGGTCTGCTCTGATGAGCAGCTACAAAGGATCTTTAGGAAAGTCCCCTTTCGCTCAAGTCAAATAAACTTCAACAAAGGATACGGTTTGTTCTTCATCAGCCAGACGTAGCATCACAAGTGCCTCCCACCACAGGGCAGGGTCTGAAGTTTGGTTTGCTGGCTCCGCTCAATTGTCTGTCCGGGGTGAAGCTTGGGAGCAGGGTCCTCAGTTGAGTATCTGCTTGGCAGAGCTGGTCTTTGAGACGTGAGCCCAGTGCCCACTCAAGGAGCAAACCATTGGAGCTGGAAGCAGGGGTGATAAACCAAGCTTTTCTTTTGCTAATGCAGAGATTGCAATGGGGAGATCTGTCTGGTTGTAGGGCAGAGGGGTGTGGATACAATGCGGGAGATCCGGAACAAGGAGACGACTAATCTTGTGCTTCCCACTTCAACCAAATTCACACTGCCTCTAGTAATATATCAGTCCCTTGCTGCTCCCTGGGAATGCATTCCAAACTCCTGGGAGTTTACAAATCGACTCCAGGTGTCATGGATCCTGAAACAACCCCGCATCCTCAGAGGCCCCCATTCAGAGGTGATGTGCAAGGTGGGTCTGGAGGCACCTAAGCTGGTGTAACTTACACGTTCCAGGGCTGGAAATGAGCAACACATCAGGGAAAGAAGCTGACAGGAAGGTGTCAGTTAAATTATCTTTCCTCCCCTTAACTCCCACCTCCTCCCAGCTTCCACTTCCCCAGCTGTAATCGACGCATCCCCTCTGAATCTGACCTTCAAATCTGAGGGACCCAGCCGTAGGCACTGTAGAAGCCATTGCAAGGAGCTCTGGGTCTGGACCGCATTACAATGGAAATCATAGGGAAACCCCTCAACGTCAGGGGTTCTGGAACTAAACCCCCTGGGCCTGATTCGGCCCTCACGCCCATGCAAATCAGGAGTGAAGGGAATTACATTGGGGTGAGCGAGTGGAGGACTGGGCCTCTTGTCTCCATTACCCTTGGGCTAACACTTTTCTCTCCAGGGTTCTGGGCTCGAATAACCCACCCTCTCAGGCATTGACTGCCCCGGCTCACAGGCTGTGGGACTGATCCTCAGAACTCGACAGAAAGCAGGAGCCCCTTTCAGTTAGATTTGTGATCTCCTCAACCCCCATACGCTCTACCCTCCAGGGGTAATCAATACTCGAAAGCCCGATGCTTCTTCCTAGGCCCATGTACAGCGCTCTGCTCAGCCCTCAGCGAACAGCCTGACACTGATGGAGCAATTGGCCTGGGGGCAGGGGGGGGGATATATAATAGTGGTGTAAAGCAGAGTCAGGCAGACAGAGACACCCGGTCAGATGGGTTGTAGCTGCAGTTGGGCTGGGAGACA